GAGATACTACATTTAAATGAAAGTAGATTTCAAAATGGAAGTGGTTGAAAAAAAAATATTGCTCTTGGTGGATGGGCCCATCCATGGCTCAGATGACCTTGGACACAAGAAATCTTTGACAATGGTAAATGCAAATTGATATGGATGGCTTTTACTGGGATTTTCAGCTAGACACAAATACTAAGGAAGGGTCAGAAGGGACCTCCATTGTGGATCCAGTTGCAAGATCCAGGAAAGAGTTGTTCTCTGTGCTTATCAAAAGAATTTGGCATTTGCCTTTCACTTCTAGCAGAATCAAGTATCTTACACTTTTACTATACATGTAGGTGTCACAAAAACGCACTAACCCCCCATCTTGTAATCTTAAGCAGATCAATCATTACCAACTGAGGAAAAATATATATAATTTTAAACGGTTAAGAGCCTGGGTTTGAGAATTATACAGAACTGATAGTTTACTAAAGCTACACAGACTGCTTACATAGTTAATGTAATTGAGATTCTATTTTTACTTGCAGGTATATGTTTCCTCTTTTTTTTTAGATAGAAAAACATGTGGTTGTTTATCTAAGGTTATTAGGTATCTCCAGAGGAGATAATTTAACTCAAATAACAAGCCTTTCCTCTTTTTTAATTAATAGCAACAGGAGATTGTCAGAAGCTCTAAAGTCAGATCCCACTTAGCTCTCACCCCAAATAAGAGGAAAATCCTGTTGTCCTTTTTGTACCTTCCCATGTCCTCACACACGCAATTGCTTGATCAAAGATATTGATCAGTCTGTGTTACCAGAATGGCTGGGCCATTTTTTAAGGCTTATGCCATGGCCCACTACAGGTAGACCTTGATTTATGACAATTGAGCCCCAAATTTATGTTGCTAAATGAAACATTTATTAAGTGAGTTTTGCCCCATTTTACGACCTTTCTTATACAGTTGTTAAGTGAAGCACTGCAGTTATTGTTAGTAACATGGTTGTTAAGTGAATCTGGCTTCCCCATTGACTTTGCTTGTCAGAAGGTTGCAAAAGGTGATCACAGGACCTCGGGATACTGCAACCGTCATAAATATGAACCAGTGGCCAAGCATCTGAATTTTGATTATGTGACCATGGGGATGCTGCAACAGTTAAGTGTGAAAAATGGTCATGACACTTTTTTCATAGTAACCATAGTCATTTTGAATGGTCGGTAAATGAATGTTGTAAGTCAAGGACTATCTGTACTGCATGTGTACTAGACAGAGAAGCTAACAATCAATAACAATACTGCACAAGTTTAGAATCCTTTAGAAGAAAAAGTAACAAAACATTATAAAAGAGAAAGATTATCTAATAAATGAAAGCAGATACAACAGCTATTCATCTTTGGAATTAGGCATTGCTTTTGATGAAAACAGTCTAAACATAATTATTTAAGTAAAATTTACATCAAAACCTTCCTACATAGGCAAAACATCACAAGCAAGGAGTTCCACAATTTAACAGAATGAGAAGAGTTGGAAGGAAGCTTAAAAGTCTTCTAGTCCAACTTCCTGCTCAAGCAGGAGACCCTAAACCAGAGGTCTTCAGACTTGGCCCTTTTATGACTTGTGGACTTCAACTCCCAGAATTCCTCAGCCAGCGTGCCTGGAATTCTGGGAGTTGAAGTCCACAAGTCATAAAAAGGCCAAGTTTGAAGACCCCTGATCTATCTTGTCTGCATTACCATAGTTCTCAACTTAGGAGCTTGTATCCAGCTTTAATGCTATTACACATATATCAACAGCTTCCCTGTAAGAGTGTGGGTCATCAACATTCCTGACAACCACCACTCTAAAGGTCTCCCAACCATTTTGCGCAAGCAGGCTGAGGAATTCTGGGGGAAGGCTGGGAAGGCTATCTTGGACTAACGTTTAATGATTTCTATATAATGGCTATAAGACATCTACTAATTCTAATCAACATGATCTCACGACTGCAAAATGTTATGAGGTCAGCATAACCTCATTCTGCATAGTTCATATTGCTGCTGACATTGTAAACAAGTGGGCTCTATGGAAATACAACTAATTATTCACTTGTTTCAATGCAACAAAAGGTCCACTTCTTTTGCTCTTGCATCTTGCCAGTTCAGCTGGTACACAACTGGCAGGGATGTCCAATGTTTCACAGTCAAAGGTAAAAAAAAAAAAAAAAAAAGTATTTCAGAGTGCTGCCCTACCATTCCTTAAATCAAACCTATTTTCCAAGATCGCACATACATGGAATGCACAGAGTTAATTCTTGAGCCTGGTCCGACCTTCTGAAAAATTATCAGAGTTAACAGTTCTCTAGCTTTGGAAATACTTAACTGGATAGCATCTCCCCAGTAATACCCCGGAAAACAAAATACTTTAATTTTGTTTTTAATTTGCTATGTATGCACTATGACAATGCCATGCAGACTCTGTTTCTTGCTCAATGCATATGGAATTAACTTCCTAGTCAATTTTGTATTGGCAGTGACTAACATAATCCCCAAGGGCAATGTGCCCATTAAAATAGTTTGTCCTTGGAAAATTAGAGAACCTAAAGGATTCCAGAATGGTCTTCAAAGTTTCCCATTGGCCTGGCCGCCATGCCTATTAAGGCTCTGATCTCACTGCAGCTATTTTGTATAAGACACAAAACTCTTTACACAAGCTTTTGTGCAAATGTGGACTGGATGGGTTTTTCTTTTACCAAACAAAAAGCCATAAAATAGCAAGAATGAGAGCAAGAATAAGCTCACACCAGTTATTATCCTTAAGCAGGGGGTTGGACTAGAACAGGGCTTTTCAACCTTTTCACCCATTGTACCACTTTTAGGATATGGCAATATCCGAGTACCACCAGTCACCTAGCAAAGTGTCAAAAACTTGATGACCAAAAAAAAAAAAAAAAGGAAAAAAGTGATAAAGTACAGGTAGTCCTCAACTTACAGCGGTTCGCTTAGTCACTGTTCGAAGTTACAATGGCACTGAAAAAGTCCCCCCAAGGCACAGCCGAGCAAGACACCTGCCTGCCCACCCAGCGGCGCTCTTCCTCCTGTCCGAGGTTTTCATTGTTGTGAGCATTTCTGTTGAGGATTGGCAGCGGAGATGGGGGGGGTATTTGGTTTTTATTTCCCCCCGTCTGCTGGGTGGTTGCAGCAGGTTTTAGTCACTGCACATGACTCTGGGACACTGTGACCGTCATAAATATGAATCAGTTGCCAAGCATCTGAATGTAAATCACAAGACCCTGGAGATGCTGCAACATTCTAGCTGATTGGTGCTTCTTCAGGGCTCAGCAGAAGCGCCAGGATCAGTGCTGCTTTCCAGCTGGAGCCTGATGCTAATCCTGGTGCTTCTGCTGAGCCCTGATAGCCCTGCAGCTCCAGCATCTCTTGCTCAGGCTTGTGTGGTGCTGCCACCAGTTCAGTTCATTCCTCTCCCCCTCCCAGTTTTCTAGGATGGTCGCGTACCACCTGCCAAGTGCCAATGTATCATAGGTGGTACCCGTACCACTGGTTGAAAAGCCCTGGACTAGAAGACCTCCAAGGTCCCTTCCAGCTCGATGATTGTATGATCAGGTGCAAACAGCAGCTTGTGATTTTGTCTAGCAGTAAACCATTCTTGCATGAGTCTCACTCCCAGGGCCTCAAGTACCCACCAAACATGAACAAGAAACCAACCGAGTCCCTAGAAGTCTGCTGAGATAAAACAGGCTAATGGATTTGAGAACCACCATTCCAGATTACGCCTGGATGTTTATATGCTACCAATAGCCTCAATAGAGATGGTACAACCTGGAGAGATTAATATAATGTTAGGAAATGTTCAACCAAGTAGCGCAGGCCTCGAGATTTTCAGAGCTGTCTCCATATTTGGTTCCTCTGCCACAACAATCCTTTTGTGTAAGACCAGAGAAGGAGGAGGGGACAGGCATGTCTCTGAAATGGCTTCCCCAGAACTCCATGACACTACTAACATTTCAGCAGGAATCCAGGTTTTACTTCACGGTTTTAAACTTTTAATGCTGGCTTATTTGTTTTTCCTGTTGGTTTTATACCCCATTTGGTTTTTACAGTGCTCTTTTATCATAATAGGGCCTGTCTGAACCTTTTGATACCTGTTATAGATGCCAGGATAAGGGATTTTTAAATAAATAAGTTATGTTGGTTTTAACATCATGTGTTGCTTTTGATGTTTTTTCCCCCCTGCATGCAGAAACCAATTTATAAATGTTACCAATATCATTTTTAAAAGGGGTGGATTCAAACATGGTTGTGAAGTGTAACGTATTCTGTTAGTTCTGAATTAGTTGTTATGGGAACCCATCTTTGTGATAAATCAGGCAACCATGACATGCCATAAGCAACACACAACTTAGTACAATGGGTGAACCTAATTATTGTGACTTATTCCATACACCAATGTGTTATCTCTGTTATCAATTACTACCTATCCATCTCTCTCTCTCTCTCTCTCTCTCTCTCTCTCTCTCTCTATCTCTCTATCTATCTACTTTTATAATTATATACAATTGCTGTTCCTTATATAGCTTGAGTTTTGACCATCCTTCATTGCTTAACCCTGGAAGTGCAAATCATCCTTATTAAGGCTATATTACCGATCGATCTTCATGCACCAAAGAGTCAGTGGTCCTTAAGTGTTACTCCAACTGAAAAACATTCTCTCCCTTCCCGCTCATCCTAGCATTTAGGAAAAAAAGAAGCCGGGCCATCACACACAGGTATTCCTGAAAACCTCACCGGAGTTTTGAAACTCAATGAAAAGCCACCGAGACCAGACTCCGGGGGGGGGGGGGAAGCCTCTCTCCGAGGCCCCAAGAGGCAGCGCCTGGCCCTGGCTAACTCTTCAGCAATCCCAACACTCTTCGGAACTCGCTCAAGCGGCTACTACTCCCCTGCGCCGGTTCAAAACCAACGCGCATCCTTAGGCAGGTCTGAAGGGGCCGAAAGGGCGGGCAACGAGGGGCGGCTCCTCGGCGCTCACTCACCTACGGCTCGGATGAGGAAGCCCTTGGGGGCCCGCAGCGCCCTGCGGAGCCAGGCGTCGCGGAGGAGCTGCAGGGGCGCCGGGGGGCCTTGCAAGAGCAGCACGCCGCCCCGCAGCCAGCCCTGCAGGCGCACCCGCCCCACGGCGCGCGCCAGCCCGGCGTTCCAGTGGGAGGCGGCGTTGGCGCGGCGGAACGCCTGGAAGACGGCCGCGCCGCGCGCCTCGTCCTCGCAGCAGTCCGCCTCAGCCTCCGCCTCCGGCCCGGCCGCCTCCCGGGACCCCGGCGGGCGGCGACGCAGGACCAGAGCGAGCGAGCTGGGCGCCAGCAGCACCGCGCGGCGGGGAAGCGGCGAGGGCGACATGCTGGGGCGGCTGCGGGGCGCGCTCTGCCCGTTGTGCCCGTCAGCGCCGCCGCCGCCGCCGCCGCTACCAAGGGAACGGGGTTGTTCCTGGCAAGGGGCGGGGAAAAGCTGGCCCGGCTCCAAGCGGCTCGGCTCTTCGGCGGCAGCCCCGGAGCCAGAACTGCTCGCTCGCCTCCCTCCTCCTTCCCCCCCCCGCTCCGAAGCACCTGGAGGAAGGGTGAGGGGGGGCAGGCCGGCCCGGGCTGGAGTGCGCTGCGCTCCCGTTCCCAAGGCGCGCCATTGGTCTCTCCGGGGCTCACGCAGCCCGCGGTCGGCCTGTTCTCGGGCCACCAGGCGCGGCCGAAGCTTCTGCGTCGGATCCTCATCTGGACCGAATCCCAGGTTGGTGGGGAACAACAGTCCCCGCCGATGGGAATACAATGGGCAGCGGTCGGGGAGTGCCTCAGAGTGCGCAAAAAGTTTGCCTCGCCTGGAATCGAGTGGAGCGATTAGCCTTTAGTCAGAAGGAGTTCAGCGTCTCTTGGAAAGCTACGTTGCACGCCCGGAATCGGGATAATTGTCCACCAAGTTATGACTAAGGGAAGGAAGATAACCGTTCTAGTGAATGCGAGGGCGACCGCACAGATTCTCAGTTACTTTTAGAGGTTGAAGAGGGGTATCTGCCCGTTGATGAACCATCGGATTCTCGTAAAGATGCGAAAAAAGTTGCTGGCAGAATAAAAAGCAATCCTAGAAAACACAGATGAGCTGCAAAAAGGGTCAGAAGGATGAAACATTCCTGAGTAGAAACGGGTGGGGGAAAGATGGGGGAGTAAGTCATTAAATAAATATTTATTTATAAATAAATAAGGCTATTCTATTCTATTCTATTCTATTCTATTTTTCTATTCTATTCTATTCTTTACTCTTCCCCCAAAACAGGAATAGTGCAGCTGTAGACAAAAGGAGATCTGTAGGTATTTTGGGATCAGAATTTCCATTCATTGCTAAACAAAGCGGTCGTTATGTGAGTTGTGCCCAATTTTAGGACTTTTTTTGCCATGGTTGTTAAGTGAATCACACAACCCTTAAAGTTGTCTTCCCCCACTGACTTTGTTTGTTAGAAGCGGGCTGGGAAGGTCACAAATGGTGGTGGAAGCTGCAGACAGATTTTCAAGTCACCGTTGCAACCTCTGCCATGAGCTCTTTGCTCCTCTGTTGAAGTTTCAGAAGTGTTGTGTTCTAAAACAATGTTCCTTAAAAGTGATCTTAGGGCCCTGGGAGTCCCTCTTTTTTGGCCCTTAATCTCAAAATTATTTGCCAGCTATGGAAGAGACTTTAAAAATTCTAAAACGATGATACTATTTTCATTGTTTTTATTTGTTAAAAATATAGTTTTTATTGAAATATTTTATGGTTTAATATTGTTATTTTTACAGGATAATGAAATAGGCTTTTGAAACCAAATTCAGTAAACAATTATTCTAGGAATGCAACACTTTTAATATGGTGAATAATAACAAATATAACCCACACAAACAAAAGTTTAAATTTTAATTTTAAAACTGGGAAAGGCTCCTGAGAAAACTAGGAAAGGTCCCTTTAGAAATCCTTCTTATTCCCCTTTTCCTTCTGGAGGGTCTTCCTATGTATTATGGTTGTCTAGAAGCAGCTCTGCCTCCTGTCTCCCACGTCATTCCCACATACCATGACATTACCAGTTGTACCAGCAAATACACAAGGAAACATGTTGTTGGTTTTTTTGCAAACATCTACGATGAATGGCCCAAAGATATCCAGGTTAACATTTCCTGATGTTCCATCAACTCTCCTGTCCTGCCCTACCAAGAGTCAAGAGGAACCAAATGAAGCTCCCACTGAAATCGTGATGCTGAAGCTAAGTTTATTCAGTATGGAAAGTGCATGGATAAAATGCTACTAGGTAACCATTGTCCAAAGGTCAAGTGTTGTATGCAGTAGAGATTATCAAAACAGCTGACACTAGACCATTTTTCCAGGCTTCAAGACTCATCCTATCTTGAAGGAGTCTTCACAATACATTTGTGAATTGTGAAAGACTGAGATGAGCTTTCATTGTTTGACTCTCCCTGTGCCTTTAAGAAGCCACAAAAGCAGAAAAATATTGATGACCAGAGTATTGCTTATGAGGAAACAGATTTCCATGCTCTCTAGGACAGGGGTCCTCAACCTTAGCAACTTTAAGACTTGTGTACTTCAACTTCCAGAATCCCTCAGCCAGCTTTGCTGGCTGAGGAATTTTGGAAGTTGAAGTACACAAGTCTTAAAGTTGCCAAGGTTGAGGACCCCTGCCCTAGGATCTAAAATAGCAGGACTGAGTGGAGACCACAGCCCCTTTAACCATCCTTTGAAGCACCATTGAATGTTTCATAAAATCTAGAATAAAGATGGCCCATGTGGGTGTTCTCTTAGGAGCCTTTTTAAATCAGCCCCCCTCAACTGGGTGCCTTTACTATACCGACATTTCTGGAGGCACATAGTGTCATGCCTTTGAGGCAGACCAGCTCAAGAAAGACAACACAAGGATCACAGAAATGCTACTTTATATCAGTGCTTCTTAACCTCAGCCGCTTTAACTCCCAGAATTCCCCCAGCCAGACGTAAAAGGGGGGTACTCTCACACTTTTTCTTTCCCAGACTTGTGTTGTCTCCTATGTCAGGGCTTTTCGACCAGTGGTACGGGTACCACCTGTGGTACATTGGCACCTGGCAGGTGGTACACGACCATCCTAGAAAAGTGGTAGTGGGGGAGGGGAATGAGCCGAAGTGGTGGCAGCACCACACAAGCCTGAGAGAGAGATGGCTGGAGCTGCAGGGCTGTCAGGGCTCAGTGGAAGCACCAGGATCAGTGCCAGGCTCTGCCCAGAAGGAGCACCAATCACCTGGAATGTTGCAGCATCTCCAGAGTCTTGTGATTTACATTCAGATGCTTGGCAACTGATTCATATTTATGACGGTCACAGTGTCCCAGGGTCATGTGAAGTGACCAAAACCTGCTGCAACCATCCAGCAGATGGGGGGAATAAAAACCAAACACCCCCCCCCACCCCACCCCCGCTGCCAATCCTCAACAGAAATGCTCACAACAATGAAAACCTCAGACAGGAGGAAGAGTGCCGCCAGGTGGGCAGGCAGGCCTCTTGCTCTGCTGTGGCTTGGGGGCACTTTTTTCAGTGCCATTGTAACTTCAGTCACTAAGTGAACTGTTGTAAGTCGAGGACTACCTGTACTTTATCACTTTTTTCCTTTTGGGGGGGGGTTATCAAGTTTTTGACACGCTAGGCGACTGGTAGTACTCGGATGTTGCCATATCCTAAAAGTGGTACAATGGGTGAAACGGTTGAAAAGCCTGTCCTATGTTTCCCTAATCCCTTTTTCAAGACTATCTATACTTACCTTTATACCAGGTAGGCAGCGGGATCCATGGCAAAGCAGCTTGGCATCAGGGAGGAAATGCAGGATTCCTATCAGCTGTAGCCTCTTTCTTCTTAAGAGAATATTTTACAGCTAGGAAGCAGCTGGCAAGTATGATTGGATTTACTTTAACAACAGGAAGTAGCAGAGTATCAAAACCAAGATTAATGTTACTGCTGCAGTTTTGCCAGTAACATTAATTTTATTTAGGATGTGAAACTGCAAGATCTGGGAGAGGACTCTGTCTTGCTTGCTTCTGAAAGCAGTGGATCTACATAGTGTTTCTCAAACTGCGAAAGCTGATTGGAGAATTCTGGGAGTTGAAGTCCACACATTGTCAAGTGGCCAAGGTTGAGAGACACTGGTCTATGGAATGTGGGCATGTCTCAAAAAAAATGCAAACTGACATAAACAGCCTGGCAATGCAAACTCTATCCCTTTATACCTGTGACATTGACACCAAAGGGGCGGGGCTTGCATTGTGATGCAATTTCTGCCAACCTCCCTTGCCAACCTAGCACCTGAAGTAACAGGAAAGATTTGACCCTTGTTTTATGAAATAAAGGAGATAAACTAAAAGAATAACCAAGTAACAGAATTGGAAGGGACTTTGGAGGTCTTCTAGTCTAACCCTCTGCTCAAGCAGAGGACCCTACCATTTCAGACAAGTGTCTGTTTAGTATTTTCTTTAAAGCCTCCAGATGAAGCACCCACAACTTCTAAAGGCAAGCCATTCCAGTAACTGGTTGTTCTCACCGTTACAAAATTTTTCCTTAGTTCTAGATTGCTTCTCTCCTTAATTAGTTTCCATCCATTGTTTCTTGTCATGCCTTCCGATCCTTTGTAAAGTAAGTTGACCCCCTCCTCTTTGTGGCAACCCCTTAGATACTGGAAGACTATTATCATGTTACCCCTGGTCCTTCTTTTGACTGGACTTGCCATACCCAATTCCTGCAACCGTTCTTCATATGTTTTAGTCTCCAGGCCCTTAATCGTCTTAGTTGCTCTTCTCTTTCCAGTCTCAGTATCTTTTTTTATAAAGTGGTGACCAATTTCATGTGTGGTCTTACTAAGGCAGTGGTTCTCAACCTATGGGTTGCGACCCCATTTGGGGTCGATCGACCTCTTTTGTGGGGTCGCCAAACGTGGCGATCCGCCATTTTGTTGCCTCCGGGGGCGCGCTGCGCCTCCGGGGGGCGGCGCCACGCATGCGCGCCGCGCGTGGGGCAGCGGCGCACCTCTGGGGAGCGGCGCCGCGCATGCGTGCCGCGCATGGGGGCGGCCCCCGTGCCTCCGGGGGGCCGCCGCGCATGTGCGCCGCGCATGGGGCGGTGCCGTGCCTCGGGGGGCACTGCGCATGCGCGCCGCGCGTGGGGGCCCCACCCCCATGCGCGCTGCGCATGCGCATAACGTTTGTGTGACGGGGGTCGCCGTCACACAAACGTTGAGAACCGCTGTACTAAGGTTTTATAAACTGGTACGAATACTTCACATGCTCTTGATTCTATTTACGCAACCAAGGGCTGCATTGGCTGTTTTGGCTGCTGCTGCACACTGCTGGCTCATAGTTAAGTGATCGTCCACTAGGAGTACAAGATCTCTCTCACAGTTACTGCTTTTGAACAAAGTTTCACCTAATCTGTAGAACCTTACTTTTCTCTACGTTGAATGTCATTTTGTTGGATAGGCCACAATGTTCAAGTCTTTCAAGATCCATCTGGGGTGTTGGCTATTTCTGCCAGCTTAGTGTTGTCTGCAAATTTGATGAAATCTTCTTCTATTCCCTCACCTAAATTGTTTATGAAGATGTTGAATACTGGGCCTAAAGCAGAACCTTGGGGTACTCCACTACTTATTTCCTTCCATGTAGATGTAATTCCATTAATGACTACACACTGAGCGGGGTTTGTTAGCCAGTTACAAATCCATCTGGTGGTGATGCTGTCTATCCCATATTTTTCTAGCTTATCAAGAAGTAGGTGTGGTCTACTTTGTCAAATGCTTCCCTGAAATCCAAGTATACTACGTGCACAACATTTTACTGGTCCACTAATTCAGTCACAAAATGTTATATATATATAAAAAATTAAATATTTATAGCAAATACTTTATTTCAACTACCCAAGGGGCTGTTCTGCCCATGACCAGATAAACACCACCAAAATAAAATTGATTATAACCCATAAGCAATATGAAAGCACTATTCAATCAGCAAAAACAGGAGCTGGATTCCCCCTAAACTCAGTTCATAAATCCTCCCTCCCAAAATTGCAGCTTAAACTAATGGAAATGATCAGACTAATAAGCTACAACCACAATAAAAGAGCCAGTTTGGTCTTGTAGTTAAGGCAACA